ATTTCAATGAGCATTATTTGTTTCCAAAAGGATACCATGAAGTAAAAGTCCATTTTGAAATAGGAATCGTCCGCGACAAAGACAACGAATGCCTCGTTTACTACACTATTGACGACATTTCAGGAATAAGGTGCATTTCAACAATAAGATGTATCTTAACAATAAGATGTATTTCAACAATAAGATGTTTCTTAACAATAAGATGTATATCTCACACACTGAAACACAACACTCGATGATTTAAAGAACATATTAGGCACTGAATCACCATCGACTACTCAAACATCAAATGTGTGTGGGGTGAAATTATTTTTTCTTAACTCTTCTGATTCCTCCCTTCCTCCACCACTCTCCCACATGGCCACCCCTTATCCCCCCTCCCCCCCCCCCCCCCCCCCCCCCCCCCCCCCCCCCCCCCTCCCCCCCCCCAACATTCCCGCCCCCCCCCCCTTCCAATCTCCCGCCCCCCGGTTTGGACTGTAGTAATTTGGGCTATGTGGGAATGGTGCGCTGCCGGTCGACGTGCTAGGACCTATTCTCCCATGCCCTCCACCCCACACTGCCACCGTGTCTAGGACACAGCGGCAGTCAGAAATCAGTTATTTGTCGCGACACCTGAGCCCCAATGTCACTCTCTTGTCAACAGCTTGCTTCTCATTGGTCACAAGCGGACAATTGCTGCGACACGCCCCTTGCCTCTCATCCAGAAAAGGGTGTTTTTTTTTGCGTGTGCCAGGATTGGAAAATCGAGGGGGTGGGGGGTGGAAAGGAAGAGGGGGTGGGGGAGTCCACATTTTATAATTGAAGTAGATAGGGGTCACTCTTCTGGATATTAAACTCAATGGTTCTGTACACGTGGTCGAATGACACCTAGAAACTTCAAAGATGGTTGAATGAAGGAACCCAGTCCTGTTTGATGAGGCCTCAAGAGATAAGGTTGGAGCTAGCCACAGACATGCATTGTTTCGTACATGTACAAGAAATGGCAAAGTGTCATGTGACAACAAGACACGACAAAGTGTCATGTCATGTGACAACAGGAAATGACAGAGTGTAATGTGACAACAAGAAACGACAAAGTGTCATGTGACAACAAGACACGACAAAGCGTAATGTCATGTGACAACAGGAAATGACAGAGTGTAATGTGACAACAAGAAACAACAAAGTGTCATGTGACAAGCTGATCCTTCATTAAAACTCTCCTACTCCAAATTGTTGTAAATAAAATAGTTGTTTTTTTTTTTTTTTTTTTATTTTTTTTTTTTTTTTTTTTTTTTTTTTGAAATTTAACTTTACAGGCCTTGCACAGAAGTGTTCGGTTATAATATCTAAGCGACCACGATCGAGTGGTATAATGATGAAATTATGGCACATGGTGTGTGAGGACTTGAACACAGACTCCAGAACAGCGAACGCGTCGGCCAAACGCCTTCTTCAGCGAGCAGCAATATGGAGTCAAGTAAACAATTTCCTATGAAAACTAACTTAACCTCAGAATGAATGACGTACAATATCTTAAACTGAGAAATGATAAGCGTTTCCGCCCATGAAACCACACTCGCAGGAATTTATAGAAAATTGCATGCACTTAAATGATTTAATGGCATTGACATTTTAAAAAACACATTTTTTTTCGTATAATAATCAGATCTATGTATTGTTAGCAATAGGGATTTTCACAGTAATACAATGGTTATATCTATATTCTACCCGATTAATAATTTTTACATGTTTCTTACTATTGAATGACTTAAAGTAACTAAATTATTCTTAGTTTCAACATGAATCATAGTAGTTACACGATTCATAGTTTTCAATTATCATTAGATAGTTGCTACATGAATCATAGTAGTTACACGATTCATAATTTTCAATTTTCATTAGATAGTTGCTACATGAATCATAGTAGTTACACGATTCATAATTTTCAATTTTCATTAGATAGTTGCTACATGAATCATAGTAGTTACACGATTCATAATTTTCAATTATCATTAGATAGTTGCTATATGATTGCTGCACGATTCATTGTTTAAAATTGTCATAGATGCTACATGATTCATAGTTTTCAATTATCATAGTTGCTACATGATTCACAATCGCTACATTATTCATGTTTGCTACATTGTTCATATTTGCTCAACTTTTCATATTAGCTACATGATTTATATTCGCTTCCTTTATTCATTTTCGCTGTATGATTCACGGCAACGACGTGATCCATAGTAACACTACGGTTGCCAGTTTCCTCATCAATAAACAACTTGTCAAAGAAAGTGTCATCTAAACATCTTGTTTACTTTATTCCCATACAGTTATACTGCCGGTGTTTAAGTGTTCTTCCACGCAATAGATCATTTGAAAGACGGTGGGGGACGAACTTCCCCTCTGCCCCCCACCACCGTCCACATACAGAACGTGTCATATCTATACAAGTAAACATCAAAATATATAAGCATTAATACATGTATTCTTGAGGAAATGTCAGCAATTGTATGGGTAATCTATGAGTGGAGGTTATGTCACAACCGCAACCAACAAGTCCCAATTAAATCTGGAGGGACATCCATTTGATCAATTGTCACAATGTGACAGGCTATGGGCGGCAGATTATGACATTTTAAATCGTGTCAAGAGTCCAATCCATTTATAGAGCAATGATTCTCAAACTGATCGAACTTCAGGAATCTGTTCAATTCGATCAGTAGCCTAGAGACAGATAAACGCAGACAATTACTGGACTAGGGATTGATGATATCAGAAGATCGGTGGACTAGGACTTGATTAAATCAGAAGATCAATAGTCTAGGAATCGATTAAAGAAGGGCATCAATAGTATACGAATTGATTAAATCAGAAGATCAATAGTCTAGGAATCGATTAAAGAAGGGCATCAATAGTATAAGAATTGATCAAAGCAGAAGATCAATAGTCTACGGATCAAAGCAGACGATAGTTAGTCTGAGGCGCGGTCACTGAGGAATCGTGGTGTGGTGACTGAGGCCTCGTGGACTGGTGACTGAGGCCTCGGTGACTGGTGAGTGAGGTCTTTGGGAACTTGTGACTAATGCCCAGTGGTCTAGTGGCTGAGGTCTCTTGGACTTTGGCTGAGGCCTCGTGAACAGGTGACTGAGGCCTCGGTGACTGGTGAGTGAGGACTAAGGAACTTGTGACTAATGCCCTGTGGTCTAGTGACTGAGGCCTCGTGGACTTTGGCCGAGGCCTCGCGAAATTGTGACCGAGGCTTTGTGAACTGGTGACCGATGGCGCCTCGAGCACCGGCTCACATTGACCGAGGCCTTGTGAACTGGTGACCGATGGCGCCTCGAGCACCGCCTCACATACAATGACTATGAGCATAGCTCTTGTCCTCCACGACATTGTTTTGACATGTGGCAAAACAGAATTTAGTTTCAGCAACAACACAGTGTCAATCTAATCACTAATTTATGAAGTTATGTGACAGTAGCAGTAAACAATTTTAGGAAGGGGAATTTATCAGTACATCAACAAACAGGTTAAAGGGTGCATGTATGTTGTAACCACTTAGTTTTAATGGTGCGCGCCTTATCCCTAGAGTCGTTGCGTGGATGCTAAAACCCCTATGGCAGCAGGGGTCTCCGGATATCTTGGGACCAAATGTTTAGATGGAAAAAACAACAAAAAACAAACAATAACCTTTGAAAAAGGGGTGGGAGAAAGAATCACATGGTGGCAAGGGGGGGGGGGGCGGGGCCCCCTAAAAATCACGCCACGGCTCTGCTTATCCCCACCAACTGACCCCCCTTCCCCTTTTTCTCATAAAACAAACATCAGAGTTTTTCGATATATAGGCCTAAGCCTTAACAATCTTTGACGATTAAATTTGTTCATTTCGAACCAAAGNTATATATATATATATATATATATATATATATATATATATATATATATATATATATATATATATATATAAGAAACAATACAACATTTAAATATAAATGTTTTTGATTTACCATTGAGGACCTCTGGTGCTGAGACCACACCAAAGCGAAACCAAGTCCAGAAATATAACATCAAATAAAGCAGGTAGAAAAGATACAATGAGGCGTGTGAATCATTTTAAATTAATAAAAGATAAATGATGCATTTCCCTATGATTATTAATAATAATAACGAGAAATAAATACATACACATTTAAAATAAATTAGGAAATTATTTAAAGTAAAATAATCGTTAATATTTTACGGACCCAAAGGACGCAAGATCGACAACCCTATAAAATAGAATTTAGGACGATTTGTCTCCCACTAACCTCAAAGTACCTTTTTATAATTTAAGCTCTTCATAGTTCAGGTTTGGACCGATGTCCAGCAGTAGGCCAAGACTAGCAGAAAGCGAGGTCCAACAGTAAGCGAGGTCCACTTATGATTTGTGAGACTTTGTTATCTGTAGCCTTGTCGTCCGGTCTTGTTTTAATCTTCGTTTTATTTCGTTGTACTGTCTGGTAGAGGATAATAAATGAAGGACTGCGTTCAAGCTATGTGAAGGAAATAGTAGAACAAGGTATGTAGAAGATTGAAATAGAAAGACAGGACTGTAAGATAAGAACGTTTCTGCCAAGAGCCTTCCTCAGCAGACAGGATCAATGACAAAAATACGTCAGTGTGCACCACTGTTATTGCCGGAAGTTTGATCTTGTTTTGTTGAGTCACTCTTCAAATGGAAAATAACTTCCGTTTAAAAAAAAAACAATGAATTTATTTACAACAACATGAACGCAAAGTTAGGTGCACAATAGATGTAACGAATACTGTTCTCTGTCTATGCACCATTTCCGTTTCTGATTTAATGACGTGCAAAAAAAAAAAGCCCTTTCAATTGCTCTCTCGGACGCCGGATCGCAAAGCTTATAAGCCTGGCCAACACTGAAACAAATGAGTCCTGTCTACTCACAAAGGACAGGATGGCTTCCGAATCTGGTTCGGACCACAATGGTGGCGAAAATTCGCGCATTACCGTGGACAACGTCCTACAGGCCATTGAAGCTCTTAAGGAGGCCAACGGCACCAATCTGACTTCTCTGAAAAAATACTTTGCTTCGAACTACCCGGTTCCCCCTAGCGAGCTCAGCATGCAAATCAAGAAGGCGCTCGCAAAAGGAGTCCGGGATGGTAAGATCGCCAAATCAGGTAACTCAAAGTTCTCTGTTGGTATTGATGATGAGGAAGGAAGTAAGAAAGGGAGGAGGAGGAGGAGGCTAACCGATGATGATGATGATCGGAGGCCCCGAAGAAGAAGGAGAAGTCGGAGGAGGCGAAGCCGAAGAAGGCGAAGCCGAAGGAGGCGAAGCCGAAGGAGGAGGCGACGAAGCCGCAGGAGGCGGAGTCGCAGAAGGCGCGGAAGGCGAAGCCGCAGACGTGGCAGGAGGCGAAGAGGAAGGAGGAGGAGGAGGAGGTGAAGGTAATAAAACCACCTCAGCAATCTACGCCATAATCAAATAACTTTATTTCAAGGCCCTTTTTAGGGCCACCCAAATCATTCCCCCCATTCTAAGATATGGTTCTTAAACTTAAGTTTAAAGTAAGAAAGAAAGAAAGAAAGAAAGTAAGAAAAAAAGAAAGAAAGAAAAAAAAAAAGAAGAAAACAAAGAAAGAAAGAAAAAGAAAAGAAAGAAAAAGGACAAATGAAAAGAAAGAAGAATCTAGATTTCCGCCCTCAAGAAAAATCTCTGTAGGAGTGTATGTGGTCGAAAATGTCGCAACTAAATTAAATATAAAGGGAGAAAAAAATCATAAGTAACATGGCTGACCACTTTAAGACACATCATAAGTAACTTTACTGACCACTTCAAGAAACATCATAAGTAACATGGCTGACCACCTCCAGGCACGTAATAAGTAACATGGCTGTCCACTTAAAGAAATATCATAAGTAACATGGCTGTTAACTTCAAGAAACATAAGTAACATGGCTGACCACTGACCACTTTAAGACACATCATAAGTAACTTTACTGACCACTTCAAGAAACATCATAAGTAACATGGCTGACCACCTCCAGGCACATAATAAGTAACATGGCTATCCACTTAAAGAAATATCATAAGTAACATGGCTGTTAACTTCAAGAAACATAAGTAACATGGCTGACCACTTCCAGGCACCTAATATGTACCATCGCCGACCAATTCCAAACGCAAAATAAGTAACATGGTTGTTAACTTCAGGACACATCATAAGTAGCATGGCTGACCACTTCCAGGAACATGATGAGTAGCATCGCCGACCAATTCCAGGCGCGAAACAAGTAACATGGCTGTCCACTTCAAAACGCATCATAAGTAACATGACTGTTAACTTAAGGACACATCATGCGTAACATGGCTGATTACTTCAAGACACACTGTTCGTAACATGGATGACCAATTTAAGGGCCCAACAATACAGTAATCATGATGAAAACCAGTTCATAGGGGCTCTGGTTAGGTGTGTTGGGTGAGGGCTAGAGTTAGGCGCTTTGGCTTAGGGTTAGGTTTAGGGTAAAGCGTTAGTTTAGGGTTAGATGTGCTGGGTTAGGGTTAGGTTTAGGGTAAAGTGTTATGTTAGGGTTAGGTGTGCTGGGTTAGGGTTAGGTTTAGGGTAAAGTTTTAGTTAGGGTTAGATGTGCTGGGTTAGGGTTAGGTTTAGGGTAAAGTGTTATGTTAGAGTTAGGTGTGCTGGGTTAGGTTTAGGGTAAAGTGTTATGTTAGGGTTATGTGTGCTGGGTTAGGGTTAGGTTTAGGGCAAAGTGTTATGTTAGGGTAGGCGTGCTGGGTTAGGGTTAGGTTTAGGGTAAAGTGTTAGTTAGGGGTCAGGTGTGCTGGGTTAGGGTTAGGTTTAGGGTAAAGCTTTAGGTTAGGGTTAGATGTGCTGGGTTAGGGTTAGGTTGGCTTAAAGTGTTAGGTTAGTTTAGGGCTATTTGTGGTTTAAGACGAGCTTAGGGCCATAGGGATGGATGGTATAGGATTGCGGTTCGTGTGTGGATATAGTCTTATTTCCCAAAAACGAATATGTATCCCCCCCCCCTTTTTTTTTTTAGCGTGATTGTTAGCTCTAGCCTTGGCTTATTTTTGAACCTTTGATCCCACCGGGAGCCGAAAATTTACTACAAATAATACAACTGTAACGCATCAGCCATTACTAACTATGTCTTTGCCAGAAAAATTAAGGCGAAACCAAGAGAAGCGAAGAATCACTCAGCGGCGTGGTCCAACACGATTTCAACCGACTCCTTATTCTTATAATAACGCTACCCCCACTCACAAAGAAATATTCTCCCCCCCCCGGCCAACCCCCCACCCACCCCCTCACCCCTTTCCCCTCCCACCCGTCGGGTCACCCAGGCCGTTCATCCGTGTACGGGCCACGGTGTGCGCGACGACGTGTTTGTACATCCGTTCAGTTCCCATGAGGTTCATTTACAAGTTGTATTAAAAGCCTCTTGGCCCGTTGTTGTTCCAGCCTCACACGTGCTGACCAGTGCGGAGATTCTGAAAGACACCAAATCCTGGCGTCACACGTCGTTCATAATGGGGAGAAGAAAAAAAAAACTACCCTAAACAAGCGCAAACACTCTCAGTCCGCTCTCACCCAGTCGCTGGCAGAAACAACATTATAAAATAATAGGGATAAAAAGTAAAGGAACAGCTGACCTCCATGTCCATGTTTCCCCTTCCACGATCTAATAGCCGCTGGCAATGTTACAGCCTCCGGCAGTGTTACAGTATCAGGCAATCTTACAATCTCATGCAATCTTATAGTCTTAGGTAATCTTACAGTCTTAGGCAATCTTTTGGTTTAAAAAAAAATGTGCGATTGTTTTAAATAAATAAGTAACTATATAGAGAGAAATTTTCACTTTTATATATATAAATGATAAACGCTGTGTCCGGAAAAAATGGAACTCCTTTGACAATGACTGATCAATGGTGAGCGCGTCTTGAAGCCTGTGTCAAAATTAATGTTGGACACTTCAGACATATACTATAGTGTAATGCAGGCCTGCACAATTCAAAATGTATGGCGGGCCGTAATACTTCATGAAAAACTTGTGCGGGCCGTAATACTTTATAAGAAGCTTTTGTGGGCCAAAAGATGATAGGACAGGGGGGAAAGCTATTAAGAAAATAATAATAATAAAGAATATTTCGTTACTTCACTGGCCTCCAAGTGGGTGCTGGCCGGCCACATGCGGCCCGCGGGCCGTATGTTGTGCAGTCCTGGTGTAATGAAATCAACATCATGCTTGAATTAAAATGAGTTTTGAAATGCTTATAAAGTTGACCAATAATTAGCATCATCATTATAAAGAGGATTCCCTTTTTTTTTTCCCCAGACACGGTGCATATGTGGTTCACCATTCTATGTTTTAAAAGTGCATACATTTTATAAGCCATAGAAAGTGAGACAGTGCTGGGTGCAGTTTGTATTGTAGGTAGAGGATCCTGGAGTTATTGAGACAATACCCGGCGGGTACGAGTCTAGATCCAGTTGTTACAATTCGGTAATTATCTTAATAAAACAAAATTTGTTTCACAAAGGATGAAAAGTGGAAAATGATAGCGAAAAAAACGCGCAGCCATCACGAATGGATCAAAAAAGATTTTGCTCTTAACGAAAGGACCCGCTTTTGCTCTTAACGAAAGGACCCGCTTTTGCTCTTAACGAA